CATAGATAATTTCAACATAAAATGCAACATTACACTTCAATATTCAGGTGGACGCTTCAACATCTTCACAATATCTTCTACCAATCTTGAAATCGTCACATCCAACTCGAGCGGAACGTTTTTTTCAAAATAGAAATATGTATTCCATATAACCCTTACATCTATATTTGTCTTAAGCTCAAAGTTGTTGAACTCAATCTTTCCTCCATTGTCAAGCGACGGTGAACGGTTCTCGAGCTTCACAATTTTTTTATTATCTTTATGAGGTAGAAGATTATGGATCTCGTATTTAAGATCTGCGAGAGAGGTGTACTCAGTGAGCTTAAACTTTTGCCCATTTGTCACGCTAGAGAATGAGACATTTGTGACATACCAAGTGATGTTCCTTTGTGAAATTTGAGACATTTTATGTTTGTGTGAAATAATAAAATCAGATCCCGTAAATTTATAGAAGCTGTAGACAAATATGGACTATTCAAAACCTGGCATCCTGATTTTAGATATGTATCTCTGATTCCGCACCCTATTATCTTGTTTCGGAGATGCATCTTTAGAACCTCTCCTGAACAGGTTTGAAAACATAACCTTTTTTTAAATTCTGGAGAAAATGTATATATTTCTTGCTTCTTTCGCACGTCATTATCACAAAATCACATCTTCTATCCAAACCATTATTGGATCTTCTGATAACCACATCAAATCCAAGTTTGGAGGCATGCATACGAATCCATTGAAGTATTTGATCACGAGATTCAAACTCTTACACATTTTTAAACTGGTTGCCAATATCTATCGCCTTCACAACAATACCTTTGACATTCATAGAAATAACTCGTTTGGGGAAAATATTGCGGTGCACCATATCTAATGAAAACAATTAGCACATAATAGTAAATAAGTGCTACTGCTTAAAACAGAATTGGAAAATGAACACAAACTAGTTTCGAAAATGCATTTTCGAAAATGCATTTTCGAAAAAGTCATACTTGTTCCAAATATTCATTTTCGAAAAAAATGCTCGTTTTTCAGACAAAAAACAGGATTAATATGAGCAGTGCAATTTGAAATAAATGATCTTTACCTGAAATTCTAACTTCTTTTACTCCCCTTTGTGTGATGAACTACAAGATTGGAGATTTGGTGTGAAAACGTGGATTGAGAATGGAAGGGTTTTTGGTGAGGATTTGTAAAGAAATACAACAATGGTTGTGTGATTATGCAGTTATTTGTTTTATCCGATTATTTCGGAGATGCATCTCCAAAAATATCTGATATGCAAAGGTGACAGTAAATTTTAAAATCCCGCCCAAACTTCTAAAGATGCATCTCCGGAATTTTCACTGAGCTGATCAATTAAGAATATATTTTTAGAAAAATTCTAGAGATGCATCTCTGGTATTAAAAAATCCAACATATAGGGTGTCACTCATAATGGTATGTGTTGAATGTGTATTGAGTGTGTCCGCAGATGCATCTTCGAAAACTGAAGAGCATTTTAATATTTTCGCGTGGTGCGTAAGAAATATATAGGGTGCATTAAGAAATTCTCTTTTTCTTTACTCTCTTTGTTTAACATTGCTAATTAAATTTATTATTATTTGTTATTACATATTACTAAGATTATTTAATATTATTCTTTTAGTAATTAAACATTTAATAAATTAAACAAATTCCTCACTCCTTTAACAACTTACAATTAATTTAAGGTTAGGCAATTAGAGTTCAATCAAACCTATTTCACTAATATGTCTCAATCTCAAATGTCATTGTTTGATTTTATTATGAAAGTCTTAACTAACTAATGATTAATTATCAATAAAATTGAAATCATCCAAAATATACAAATCATACATTTTAAACCCTTTAAGGATTATCACTGCACTATGCAAAACTTTTAATATATCAAGTTCAATTGTAGTGAAATAGTCTAAATCATCAAACACGATTATAGACACAAACAAGTCTTAAGTTTTGGAACATCCTTCCAGGTTTTTAAAAGAAACTCACAATTATCAAACATCTTGAGTCGAATCATCACAATACTATGAAGCTTTTAACTCTTATTATTACTTAATTGAAACGTCTCCGATTTCACTTTGTTTCAAAGTTTTAAAGTATTCTTTTCTAGAACACATGTGACAAGAGCATCTTGAGTCCATCCCCCAACTCTTTTATGTTTTCAAATTAGTTATCATTAACGCACTAACACTCTCATAACTATTCTCAATCGAGGCAACCACAATCTAAATAGAATCACCATTTTTTCCCTCTTCAAAAAATCCTTCGCAGTGATTAGTTTTATTACAAATGAAACTTTTGTTGTTAAACTTGTCAAACCCCTTTAATTTTAACTTAGACCTAAATTTCTTTCTGATCTTGAAAAGATTGATGTGTTTCACAAAAAGGGGTGGTGAACTTGGATTTAATGATGAACCTTAGTAAGTAGTTTGTATCTCGTTGCTCTTGTCCAGGGTACTTTTAAACATTCAAATGTCTAAGTTAGATAGTGAGGGTTAGAATAATATGTAACTTGATGGGATGCCTTCTTTAGGCTTTTATAGGAACGTTATAGGTTATCTGAAATCTAGAACCTTTTATTTTGAATTATTGTAAGAAAGAATAAGCGTCAAAAATTATTCAAAGGGTTATGTAACACTTATGTTTCTTTTAATTGTGTTAATAAGTGTAGTAGGTTTTGTAATGTTAGAACCTTCCATAAATTATCTTTAGCTAATTTAGAATAGAGTAAAAAAATAAAATAAAAATAAAAATAAGTTTATCCTCAATTATACTCGTGAATCCTCTTCAAGTCCGTGAAATATATAATATAGGTAACGTTGACATAAGTCACACTTTTGTCGACGAATATACTTGTGTTAATCAAAAAATGTGTCCTTAATGTAAATACTCTAATAAGGAACCTAGGCATTATCACTTGCATCATCTAAACTGCATTCATAATATAATTTTCTGATATGCATGAAAAGCTAGTATGACATTCTTTGGTGTTTTCTATCTCACTTGAGATTTACCCGGATCAGCTTCTACGTGTGTCACCATTAGGTCGAGCGCCTCAAATCTACTAATTCTAGAATGATCTAATAGTTGTTTGGTCATCGAAAGATGTATGAAACACGACACATCATCAAACGTGATAATTCTCAGTGATCGAAAGATAAAATGATGGCATTTATGTGTGTCATCTCTCAACAAATAGAAATAATATCATCTCACTGATTGGAAAATAAAATGACGACATCTAAGCATGTCATCTCTCCACAAATGCAAATAATATATCATGGTCAATATAACCATATCATGTCCTACATAAGTTCCTCAGCTTAGATAGCTCCAAAAGTTCTTGAAATCATGGTTCATTAGGTTGTGGCATCTTTTTTATATTTCTACCATAGTTTATACATTTTAATGTGTCACGGTATTGCAAAAATAAATACATCAACATCAGACAATTTAATTAATTTAAAATAGATGTTTAAAATAGTAGATAAACATTTATGTTATCTCTCCCTTTCACACGTCTCTAACAGCATGGTGTGCATATAAAATAAGTAGTAAAATATTTTTGAGGCCTCCCGGAAAATTATCAGGATCAGGTGCGGCAACATTAGGACTGCCTGTAGGGTGTGGATCCTCTGCATGTACAACAGTATGGACGGGAGCATTGTATACTTCGTTATGAGTTAGAGATACATGAATACGAAAATATTGTCCCTCATTAGTACAAGATGATTCTCCAATAACTCACGTCGATTTAGCTCTCTCCTAATGCACTAAAGTATGTTGGGACAACCGACCATATTTGTATCGTTGGTATTCGTCAACCATTTTCTATAATCAATCAAGAAAAGACATATCATAATAAAAATGAAAACAATGTATAAGCAAACAGACAGAATTAAGAAACAGAATGACAAATAGAGAAATTCATTTTTGTTATCCGTATTAAGGGTCTGGGTTTTGAAATCTAAATCACAAGCAGAGAGGAGAAACTAGACCAAATATCAACCCTAACACTCAAATTTCCCGAATTCATACCAAATTTAAGTAGGAATTGCATTTCTATTGGATGTAACCTAATGTAGCTTAACTACAAATCTATTAACCTATTAAGGTGTTGTATACATCAAAAATCAGAAAAAGCAAATATATGAGAAATTTACCAAATGTTAGAGATGAATGTGCTTAGTTTGAATGGAAAATAGTAACAGTTGATGAAGTGTTTGGTTTGAATGAACAGGATAGAAATTGAGATAAAGGTTGAAAAAATGTTGAATTCGGATGAGTGAGAACTATGTTCTGTTCTTGAGAGAATTGAGAAGTTGGTTTTAAAGAAATTGAATGGGAAGAAAAAGACTGCCCACGCAGATTTACATGAATGTGTCTGAATCTAAAGTTGAATCCGAATTTCAATCTTCGAACTTATCTTTTATTTGTATTTAGCATGATTCTGAGATTGAATTTGTTGTGATTATGATGAATTCAAGTTTCAATCTCTAGACTTATTTTTTACTGTATTTCGGGTGTTTCTGAGATTAGGTTTGTAGTGTCTAGGGTGCGTCTAGATTTCAATTTCTAGATTCTTTGAGTATTTTCAAATTTTCACCAAAATTGGTGAGTAATGTATGAGGTGCAATCAACAATGCCCTTTGATTCTGGTGTTGGGTTTCAGTCAAATAGAAATCTCGCTAGAAAGTCATTGCGAGAGTGTCATTTCTAAAACATCCCAAACCATAAAATACAACAATTCACACTACTATGTGCTCTCGACACAGGGCATATTAGATCACAACCACAATTTTTGGCATCCAAAACTGTAATAAACTATTTATTTATATTTTCATACTCTTTCTATCTCAGAAACAACACTGTAAAAGAAATTCACTGTGTCACAAGTCTTTGGTTGTGTTGTACATATGGAAAACAGTGACATTCTCTTGATGAAACAGCTTAACCACAAAATTGCTATGGGGAAATGCATCTTATTGGTTCTGACCATCCTCTTGGGGTTTTGCTTTACCACGAAGCATCTCGCTGAAATTTCCCATCATGATACGTCTGAATCTAGTGTCTTCTGCTGGTGGAGTGACAGTCCTGGGGGACACAACTGCTTCTGTCGGTGACTCAGTGGTTTCTTTCTTTCCGAGCAACCCACCCTCACCAAATATGTTGCTAACTGATGTTGGAAGCGCAAGATGAGCAGCACCCATTACCTTGCTAATAGTCTCAAAAGTTCCCCCCGATCTTTCCTTCATAATAATTTCAAGTGCTTCTTTGTGAGCTGGATCCAGTGCATCCAAGTCTTTCAAGAGGTTCTGTATAGCAGGCAGGAAGAAGTCCCTAACACTATTTGCAGGAAGATCTACAAGAAGAGAAACTAGGAATTAAAATTACTTGAAAGAAGAAACAAATGTCAACAATCAGTGACATCTCCGTGAAATTAAAACTTGTTACTATGACTTTTACAAACAATATTGCAGTTGTAGACTCTAGCTTACTGGTGGTGTATAAAATAAAATTGAAATTACAAATGATTTGTCATTAGAGGGAATTGACTGAAAGACATGGGAATTTTGATTAACAATGATGCAAAAACAACAAATAATGGACCATAGACTATAATATATCCTTTTTGGGAGATGTCTTATGATTTATTTCTGCAATGTAATTTTCCTATGAAGTAATATTTTCTATTAAAAAAACTTAAAGAGAATTTAACAAATGAATAAAACTGTGATTTGGAGTTCAATTAATTATATTAAATAAAACACAAGGCTAAAAAGATCCATACACTACAGGTACAATTTGGGCTATGGAAAGACTACAAAACTGATAGCTTCACGTGTAGATTACATAGTTACATCAATAAAAATCTGGTACAAATCCAAAACATTAATACTATCAATCAAGCCTTGACGTGAACACCATAGAAAGAGCTCAAATGAATTTAAGCATGCCAGATTAATATAATTTTAATATAATTTTAATATAATTTTTAGGGTAATGCTAACTTGTGCCTTGGAGCACAAGTTAAGAGATGAATATGGTAAAAATTTATTGAAAATTGTGTATTGAAATTAATATAATATTATAATTAATGGTTTTATTACTTTTTTCAATAAAATTTTTCTATTTATAGATTCTTTAACTTGTGTCATTGGAGCACTAGTTAGCATTACCCTAATTTTTAAATAAGCAAACCTGTAGCATCCAGAGCACGGATTGCCTCACAAAATGCATCAGCTCTCTCTCGTCTCCGTGTTAAATCTTTTGCTGCATTTGGCATTGCTGTAAGTTGGAAAATCTTGGACAAAAGATGTATGTCAAGTTAAGGAAACAAAAACACTATTTTGGAGACCTTGAAAGCCAACATAACATGCGAATGACACAAATGTCAGGACATTAATTACTTTTCCAAACATTTTTCCAGAAATAAGGTTAAGGATATAATCTCTAAGTCTGTCTATTGTATGCGGTACAGCAATCACCAACGCGCGAATAACAGCAATAGTAGCTTCATGAGAACCATCTTCAAGAAAAGCATCCATTTGAACACGTATCTTGTCAACAATCTGGAAGATATATTATTTGATTAGGAATTCGAATTGAAGAACTGCATTAACATCATAACTTCAATAGGAAGCAGGGAGAAATACAAATAGCAGATACCATGTCATTTTTGAAATGCTGAGCCACTGCACCAAATGCATCTATGCTGGCATACTTCACATTCAGATTTTGATCAGATCCAAGAGTAACTAGAGCAGGCAAAACATGAGTTGAAGCAGCCTTTGCATCAATATATGGAACCTATTAATTAAGAAGCTGTCTTAGTTTAAGCGTTTGTATGAGATGCATCTAGAAACTAAGAAAGAAGCACTCGTACAATAACTTTCAGCAGCTGTGCGGCATTTATTTTCATACTAATGTAAGAGCTGACCACCATTTCCCATAATATATTAAATACCATGCCATGGTTTTCTTCACGTGTGCTGCATTATAAAGAAAACTCATAACAAATATTGGACAAATACATAGAATTTCAAAAATGTTTGTGGCGGCGATCAAACCAAATGAAGCGGATAGCATTAATAATCTCAGGAGTGTGCTTGGTTGATCGGTTTTGCATGGAACTATCTTCTAGAAGCAGCTTCTTTAAATATCCTTCTAACTGTCCACGTTTTCCAGGAGCACTCAAAACACCGGCTAACAGAAGCGGTAAGACACACATTGTAGAAAGCCTATCAGCAACGGCAGATCTTGGCCTCAAACCTACAAGTGAACTGTCAAATATGAAGCAATTATGTAAAAAATTCACAGGGAAAAAATGTTACCTTTAATTCTTGAATGGATGGCAGTAGGAAAAAAAGTCAAATCTGCATCATCCCCTACTGCAATTAAAAATACTGGTAGCATTATGCATGTCACGTAGGACTCCCCAAAACATTCAGAAACAGATGACAAAAACTGCATTTACATGGGTTATATCAGCAAAAACTCAAATAATTTTGGTTAAGAAGGCATACAAAAAATTTGAAAAACTTCAAAGAGATGGCAAAGCGACCTTTGAAATCCGGCTCCGTAAATTATCTTCTTTCTGTGGCAACAGGCAGGCCAGCTGTATCAAATTTGGAAAACACTCAACATGCATCCACTCAAATGTAACCCATTCAACTTGTTCCCTAACAAAAGAGAAATCATTAAAGATCAGCCAGCTTTGATCTTGTGGTCATACATGGTTTGCCTTTTAGTGTATGCATAAATTGCATGTTTGGAATACACAAAGATTACAACATGAATCAACAAGACTCATGAGGAAGGATGTGACGTCAAGACTGTCAGTGGCATTGACTCTTCCAAATATCCTAATGGCATAATTCAAAATCAGCTGTTCTCGCTAAGCTTACCTGGCATACAATTCAAGCAATGGGATAGATAACACAGTTGGTGCAGTTTCTGTGGTGGACAAGAAGGGACAAGTGCCAAATGCTTTTTGGTGCACGAAAGGAAGCAATTCCATCAGCATTTTCAACAAAACATCTACATTCCAGCGCTCTCTTTCACCCAATACACGGAGATGTGACTCTATAGACCCTTCAACCCCAGAAAGAGGCGGACAACGCTGCGGATTGGGGCAAAAAATCACACTCAGAAAATATTTCGATAAATAATGAAATTGTTAGTCCGAAAGGGAGGGTACAAGGAAAAACAAATACCAGAGCTGAGTTTAAAACATGAGAAAGTAAAACTCTCAAAACGTGATCCAAATTGTTTCCCCACTTTATAACTGCGGGAACCAATTCCTTGAGAGCAGTTTCCACCACCACTCCAGCCAGGTCACAGACTAATTGGAACATCAGCTCCTCCACCTATCAATAAGAGGTGAAAATAAGAATTAGAGCAAATCTTAATTTTCATTATTACTTCTCTGTAAAAGTTGTCATATTATGGTAAGGTAAAAGGCTCCATTCCCTAGACCATTTTTCGTTAGCTTGTTCTATATCTTACATTGTAGCCAAGTCTCAGGTCAGAAACCTTCTCCATGACTGCCTCGAAGCAAATATAGTGAGGCTGACCTTGAAATATTTATCCATGTTTGGGAAAAGTGGAAGCAGCATAGCTAGATTTCGAGCTGCGCCCTCTCGAACAACACTGGCAGAGTCTTCTATTAGTTGCTGCACAATAGATAAAATAAGAGAATCGCGAATCTCCGGCCGTACATATTCTGCAAGCTCTCCACATGACTGAGCAACGAGCAATCTACGCTCCTCGTACATGTGACTTATCTAATAAGCACAAGACCAACAAACTAAAAACCTGGTCCATGTTTTATAAAGGCAAAAGGTAAGTTGAAAAGTGAGGCACAAATTTACTTGTTCCCAGCACTGGGGAAGCAATTCTGTTTCTGTTCTCATCTCTCCAACATTCTTGGCAAGGTTGACACATGCCTGAAAAGAGGACAAATAAATTCAAATTGTATTCAGACGTTCACTAGAAGAAGTAAGGAAAACAGCACAACATACATCCATTATTATTCGTCTCTGCTGCTCATCTGGACGCTTGATTAAATTAAACAATGTGTGGGTCAAAGAATCTCTTGTGCTGCTGTCTGGGTGGCGCTCGATAGCACACATTATTAGAGGAAGGAGCTCCTACAAATAAACAAAACTTATTCAGCATTCATGTGACAGAGCACAAATGAAACAGATTTATAGAAAAACCAACCTCGCGATGATTGATCAAGACATAAGGAACAATTTTAGGCAAAGCATCTGCAAGTATCTGAACTGTTCCTAAACCCTGTCAAAATTGAACACATAAGAATGGAATATCAGAGTTAAAAATTGATATGGACAGAGACAAATCTATCTAGCTAACATTTAGCCATCATGATAGTTCATCATTTCTTCATCTCTATATTTCTCAAAAGTGCTACATAACAGGTAATAAAACCAAAAACAGTACTTCCAGTTCACCATTGTTAACACAAGATCAAGCCTTGACCAAAACAACTCCCAAATGTTCAGTCTCAACAACTTTTTCAAAAAAGTGAATCATATCATATGAAACCAACAAGTAATAATGTACACAGATATCATTAAGCTAAGAGTACAACAAACTTTCTGTTTTCCAATCTATTAATTCATCACTTACACTATCTGATATTTGAAGTAACCTAGTGTCCTCATGTTGACCAACAATTTGTTCGGATTCGTTTTTTATATTTTCAGAAGCACGATTTGTATTTACAGCATTAAATGGTGTAGGCAAGGTATCTTCATCGCTATTTGCTTTCTCATTCAGAGATTGAACAGCTGATGATTGAGCATCTTCATTGCGTACAGCACCAACCACCGCAGCAACGGGATTTGAGATTGAACCTTGGTCTTCATGAATCTCAATCACTTTATCATCTGCCTGTAAATTTTCCATTTCAGGACCAACATAATTTCCAGGTTCAGGAGCTCTTACATTCTTTTCCTTCAGCGCCTCAATTTCCACCTGCAATTTCTTAATTTCTTCCTCATACTTCTCTAAAGATTGAGACTGAACATTATTAACTTCCTTGACAACCCAATTATTTCCTGAGAGAGACCCTTCAAGATGCATTTTCAGTGAGGTGATCTCAGCTCTGCAATCATTGAGCTCTTTTCTTTGGTGCTCCAAGGACTGTTTTAAGACTAGCACCTGGAAGTTACAATTGGTATATCACAATTTTGTAAATACAATTGCTGTTTGACAGATTCATCAAAACTAAAAATGAACTACCTGGTTCTCTTTGTCTCTAATATCTTTCTGTGTTGCCTCCAAGGATTTAGTCAATGTTCCAATTTGAGCCTCAGTCAAATCTTTGTTCTTCAACAGGGTTTTTTTTTCTAGATTCAGCTTCTGATTTGAATTCAGCAATGTTTTATTCTCTTGAAGCAGAGAAAATTTTTCCTGCATTTTCATGTGGATTTCAGATTAACTTGATTTTATCTAAAAAAGTCAAATGAACAATTAAAAGTCAGTTCAAAACAACCAATGCCTCTGAAACATATCTCATCAAGCATAAAAGTAGACAAAATCAAGAATAGAAAAACAATAGAAGCCTCAAAAGAAGGGTCAGGAGTGAGATATGACAAGCAATTGACAATATTAGGGAGCTATCTGGAAAAATTGGTTTTAGGATTAGGATTAGGATATCATCTAATGAGAAGAGGTATGTTTATTGTTTAGAAAAGGTATAGATGACTAAGCTTGTGGCTCTCAACTCTAATACTTCTATACTAGGAGCAGTCATTCCCAGATAGCGGCGGAGCGGCCGACCCCAAAAGTGGGATAGCGGGATAGTGTATAGCGGAATGAACGCTCTATTTGATCATTTTTTGGACAAATTGCATATAATAATTATAAGCATATATTTAATGTAAAAATTAAACAAATAACAACTCATAAAATATTCATAAATCAAAGCACACATGACTCTTGAAGTGCATAAACGACTATGAAGGAAGGTTAGGTTGAGTCTCAACTCAAATTTGATTGAAAAACCCAAAATTATCCTTAAAACATTATAAATTTAAGGGGTAATTTCGGTTTCTTAGAGGGGAAAAGGATAGTGGGCCAAAAACCACTCCGGGCCGTGAACCGCTCTGCTCCGCTATCCCGCTATTTGCCCTATAGCGGCCGCTATAATATTGCACTGATAAGGCTCTTCCCATAGCGGTAGGCCTCCGCTCCGCTATAGCGGGATAGAGCCGCTATTGACTACTCTTAGGATAAAATTAATCAAGGCGTGCACACGCAAACATAACCAATATCCTATTCATAACCTAAATAGATAAGCCCATGAACTAATATGCATGCAGACACTAACAAAAAAGTAACAATATCAGAAGCAAAGGGGCATATGTAATCTATGAATGCAAAATGCAAGGCATAAAATCCACAAAGTGGTAATCTGAAGAAGTTAAGTGGTGGAAAAATATTAGAAAATAAGCCAATTTGTCAGAACAAGGGGTACAATCTATTATGTTAGGTGGTACACAATAAACAGCTTGCTTATTTAATGTAAAGAATCACCTCAGCAGCCTCTGAAGTTGATGAAAGATACTGATAATAATAATGCCGCAAGGCATCAGGTACCGATGCAGGTGTGTTCTGCCAAATGTCCAAGTTCTGGTCTGTAACCTACAGGAATAGTTTTAGTGTAGAATAACAAATCAAAATTAAGCACCAAATAGGAAAGGCAATGCAAACATAATGTTATATATTGAATAAACATGTTCACCACCATATATAATTTGACAGAATTTATGATGATTTACATACGAAAAATAACCAGGGATCTGTCGGATTGTATCCAAACTACCAATCATTTCTTTATTAAATAGTCCCTCGTGTATTACTCTTTTTGTAATTCATGTGCTACCCCTGCTCCTTTGGGTCATCTTTTGATCTCTACTCCTCACTTAATTGCATTGCAGTTTTCTTTTTTGGGCTTCAGCTCTCTTTTATAAAAAACAAAGTATACAAAGACACCAAGTAATCATTAAAGTATATAAAAACCAATCATGTTAGTCCTGTAAGTACATGAAAATCCGTTCCATTAGTCCCTAGTATCTTAACAACAGAGACTAATAAGACAGATTTTAATTTACTTTAAGGACTAAGTAGGAGAGAGTGATACTTGAAGAAACAAACTGAAGATTTACTCTTAGTAAAATGATGGAAAGTCTGTTTTTTTTTGTACCCAAAAAAAAACATGCTTGTTTATTTTGGTTGTGCCGTAGAATAGAATAGTGGTACCTTTTGTTGTTGCTACTTGTTAGAAAAATAGGGTTATTCATGTATTGTTAGTATTCTTTTTTAAGTTGTCTTATACGACTGCACCATTACTAGTTGTACCACACTAGAGCTTCACCATGGTTCTGAGTATAAATAACAAACTGGTATATATCAAATACTATTCGTTAGAGTCTCTCCTCTCCTTTTACCATTGCACCCCTAATCCCTATAATTTCAACTGTTGTAGTACACTATACGTTATTGGAGTATTAACTTTTGAAAGATTGTTGAATAAATCCAGGAGCAAAATCAAAATGCATAAGAATGATAGTATATACCACAAAAGAAAGTACCATAGAAATCTCCTTTAGTTTTTAATTTTGCTTTTTTGGGGGGAAGTGGTGCATTAAAGAAAAGGAGATAGATAATACAAGGGGAAAATATATTATCTTAAAGTAAAGGGCACCCCGGCCCTATAAAATTCATCTTAGGATTATTATATAATAAAGGGATTTAAAGTAGTTAAGAGTTGTTATAGAAGTGAGTTAGTTAATTAGTTAGTTAGTTGAGGTGGTTATAAAGAGAACGTGTATAAATAAGAGAGCACAGAGGGTAGAAAGCATCTTTGAATATTGTAAAGTTTGTGAATAGAGTAGCAACTCTTGTAAAAGGGAAACCCTTGGAGGAGTGACTCTTTCCTATTATTCTTTCTTATTTTCTTAATTCAATTGTCTTTCAATTTCATCAAATTCCTGGATTCCTAACAGTTCTGCCATGGTGAGATCGAGGGAAGGGTTTAACCCATTATAGGGTCATGATGTAAACAACCTTACCTTGCATTTGCAAGATTTCACGCTATGTGACCTCCAATTTTATGTAAAGATTAATAAAACAAGAAAACAGGTCCCATAAATATCAATAAACTTTTCAGCCTCATCCAAACTATCTAACAAGTCAAGATGTATGTAAGTTCTCAACTAAAAAGAATGCCCCACGGATTTTTTTTTGGGGGGTTTCTGTGTTTATTTCCCTTCAACATACTGGATTTATTTCCCCTCTTATATTTGTAACCAATTGGTTGAGAATTAAGAAGGGTGGCGTTAAAATAGAAAAGTCACTTTGAGCAGAAATTCGTGATGTTGTCAAGGCAGAAGCACCACACCATGCCCTACCCACCTCAAGTAGAAGATACTTTCTAAAGGCTTCATTAACATTAAGGTGCCTACTAGAACAAAACCATTTAAAATAAAATAGCATAACATCCTCCAAACATACTATAATATGACTATATTTGAGTGATTCCAGATCCATACAATAGAGGGAGATACTACAGTCACTGGAAGTGTAACTACTACACTTTCAAATTGCTTACTGAAACATGTAATGGACAAAAAAATTCAGAAATAAAAGAATGGCAAGCTCCCCCACCCAAAGAAACTACAGAAGAGAAATAAAATCAGAAAGTTGCGGAAAAAGGGCGATACAGCAATACCAACCTCTTCATAAAATGTCATTGCAGTAAGACGGTAACCAGCTATAAGCAAATATTCCTTTACGGCACAATTAAGATCTTGACGCTCAGTATCCTTTAACGGACCCAAATCAGTGAAGGAAGTATTATTTTTCTGATGAATTTGTTGCCCATCACTCACTGAAACATCTCTACTAAACTGCGTAGCTGCATTCGAAAAGAAATATGCCATAAAGCAGTGACAACTAGAAAAAATCCCAAGTATTCGAAGTCAGTATACAACAACCATGCCTTATCCCACTAAGTGGGGTTAGTACATGGATCAAATTCTGCCATAATGTTCTACCTAAGATTGTGTTTCTATCCAATTCGTTAATCTGGATATCCTTCTTAATAGTTTCTCTTTTCTATTATAGTTTTTCTAGGTCTTCCTCTACCTATAGTTGTTTGACTCCTCTCCATCTAATCTATAGTAAGGGGAAAATCATAAAAGAAGCAGATTATAAAGCCAAATTGCCTTACATCGAGTGAAGGAGCATTAGCATTGAGGTCACTGAAACTTTTAGTCCAGGCTTAACGAAAGTCTAATTCTAGATAGTTTTAAGTGATAACATTTTAAAAATTCAGGTAGGGGTCTAGAATCTTGACTTTATAAGAACTGAAAGAGATTTTTTAATAACAAAACTGTTAAGATTTACAGTATTTTAAGTTCAGGTAGGTTTTCTGAAAAGCAGTGAAGTTGCCTACTTTGTTTAAGGAAAAGGCTTTGCTATTTTGTAAGTATAAGATGATTAACCAGCGGGAAGTTGTGGTGGTTCTCTTTTCTGTTTTATCCTCGGATTGTTTTCCTGTTTGTCGTTTCCTGTTGGAGTTTTATCTTTCTGTTTTTCTTCATCTCTGTTTGGATGACCCAACACCTTATCCTTTCTCCTGTCTCCCTCTCCTCCCTTTCCTATCTAGTAGTATTTCTTTTTCTAGCCAAACCGAACACATCATTCATATATAAAAGTCATCAACATAATTGTACATAATTATGTAAGAACTATAAAACATTGAAAGCCAGATGATGATCATATAAAAAAAATAAAATAAAAAAATAAAAAAGATACTGAGGTCAAAATGTCGTGTAAACAAATACCACTTAGTTCATGAAGTTTTTCTGTCTTCTTCTGCAATTCACTCTTGAGTTTTGAGATGTCTTCTAGAGCCAAGCGCAGTTCATAATCACTAATAGCTAACTTTTCAACTGCTGCTTCTTTCTCTTCCAGCAAACTTTGAGGATCTGCCACTGCATTTCAAATTACAAATAAAAAAATATTGAAGAAGAAAAATTATCATCATATCTAGTACCGGATTACATCAACCTACACCTAAATATCATACCTGCTCTTATCAGTAAGATTAGATTACAAGTAGAGAACACGGTTGTCAAATAGCGGCTATAGTAACACTATAGTGCTTTTGCATAACTAAGCTTGAACAAATCTCTATTGTTCCATGATATTAAACAAATAGCCTAACTCAAGCTCACGAGAGCTTGCATAGTCCCCCACAGCATATAATAAGCTTGTGAGTAACCCCATTCAGTTATAATAACTAACTGACTGATTAAGAAATCACCGTCAAACTATAAATAGATGATTCATCTTTCAGATCAAAGAATCTCAATTTCTCTATAGTTTCCATAATTCTAACACGCGACACACTATTTAGTACAAACTGTTGTCAAATACCATTACAACTTACAACAACACTGTAATAACACTATATCTCAGCAGAAATGTAACTAAACCACTATTTCCCGTTATCCACAGTTGACAACAGTTCTTGAGAATTCTAATGCTTCTGAATCGAACTCCTCTTTTAACAAATACGCACATAATAATAACATTATATCATCCAATCCAAATTCAAAGATCTTATCAATAAAATGCACAAAATAGGCATGATTTGTTTCAGCGTTGACGGAAACAACGAGAATAAGGAAATTGAAAGAGTGAAATGGCGATTAGTTACCTCGGAGAGAGTTGAGGCGAGAGATTTGATCATGTGGAAAGAGAGAAGGATCGGAAAAGTAATGTTTAAGACGAATAGCTTGATCGTCGTGGCCATCGTCGAGAAGCTCGTGGAGAAGTTCAAATGCTGTAAGAACGTAGTTCTCTTCTAAGAGAAAGTTGACAACGCAATTGCAGAGTGATGATCTATCTACGTCCATTGTTCTGTTGCGAATCCTCAGATCAAAACCCAAACCCTAGAGTCTCTGATCTGAGGCCATTGAATGGAAGAGGTTTGGGGAAGAAGATGATGGTGAGTGAAGTCGCGATTTCAAATGTATGATGTCAGCTAGTTAGGTGACATCTCACATTTTTTAATTTAATTTATTTTTATGAGATTGCAGAATTGCGTCAGCATGAAGAGTGAAAGAAAACAAATAAGATTGTGTTGGAAAATGGATATACTTTACAGGGAGTGAGTTATTGAGTGGAGACATGTGAATTGGTCTGCTTATACACCGTCAAATTTTACCATTGATTTAGTTTGTATGTTTGGAAATTGCGGTGCAAGTATGTGTTAACGCATGTGAGAATGCCACTAAAATAAATCATTATTATAAATTACTAGTATAGTTTTTTTTTTTGTTTATGAGAAATTATTATTTTAGAATTGTAAGAAATTATTATTTTAGAATATCTATTTAAAATGTCGATTTTTTTTAAATAACCATAATTTTTAAATAATATACTAAATAAATCACCATTTCAAAATAATTACTAAAATAACAAAGTTTGGGTTGGAAATGAATAAAATGTGTCAATTCAAATGCCGCATGCACACTTCACATACATATAGGCGTCATTTCAAATGGCTTATGCATATATCATGTGTCATATGTATTGGCGCATGCATTCATTTTCCCAGTGCATGTGTCATTTGCTATGTTGTTAGCTGGAATTTTGACACTCATGAATATTTAAAATAAATCAGTTAAAGAAATATTACAAAAAAGAATATATTGATTTCGATGAAAAGTTGGTGAAGACATAATCGAAGAAGACTCTTTACATAGAGGGGGAATTTGGCCTAGGACTTAGAAATATTTTTGGCTCAGATTTAAGTTCGACAAAGTTTACTTGGAGTTGCGTTCAACGAGCGTAATTCAAAATGAGGGCAATAACTATTTTTTGGCCTTATCCGTTTCTTAAAGACACGTGGAAAGCTGTAAGCAGCGAAGTGCATGCAATCGAAAATGTGGCATCTTCTGGAGAAGAGATTGTTTATTACCATTATTTTCAATTCATTATAAATAAGGATCTTAGTGATTAGGATTCGGGGGTGTTCAATTTTGTACAAAAACTCAAATTTACTCAAAGTATTTGTGTTGTTGAGAAACGAGTTCCTGAGTGCAATGTACGTGTGATAACCATATTTTTACACTTTTTATCAAATCATTTAAGATTTTATCATTTATATTTGCTGTAAATTTACTTTGAAGTCATTTACGTTGCAATTTATATTTCTGCATTTCTTCACGAATTGTAACATTATTTTTAACAAATTGAAATAACAATGTTGAAATATTTATAAGTAATAAAACTTAAAAAAAATAAAAATAAAAGCATATGTCATATGATCAATCTAGTCGATCCTGCGAGTAACCAAAATTATAGAATTTGGAACACTAGCGTTTGTTTATCAATTTTGACGGTAAAAAAAATGGCACGCCCAGTGAGGCCAGTGCTTTACTTAGTTTTTGAAAATATTTGAAAGTTTTTCATTTGTGGTTTCTCTAACTTCGGTGCATGAGATTAATAAGTGGTAAAAAATCACTAATAACGAAGCAATACCAAGAAGGAGATACGTAAGAAGGATGGTGAATCCGCCAAATAACAATGGAGAACAACCCCCCTGTTTCGACATGGGATACTACGGCCGCAACGTCTATGTCCGAAGCAATTTCATCCACGACGAGCACGGCGGCCATACCATCAAGCACTCACAGTGGACCAATTTTATCTCTTATGAGGACGCAGGGTCAACCAGTGACCCCCCCCCCCCCCCCCTCTAGTAGGAGCTAGTACATTCAGGCCTTATATATCTGGGTTTACAATGCCTTTGAATGGTCGTGAACAGCCATATGACATGTAAACTTCGATGATGGAAAAATTTCACAATGCAACGTCAGCATTCACTAACCTAGTGGTGAACACGTTTTCGCCTTTGCAAGGATTTGGGTCGGCTGTTAACAATATGGGTCGAATCAACCAGCCCCCAAGGATGGGATTTTCTACCCAACAAATGCCTAATTTTACTACAAACTCTGCAGCAATTTTAAGGAAGCAAATGGATGAAAGTAACCATGACATGGCCCGTATGCTTGTCCGGCAGATGGGCGCAATATTCAACCCTTTGATTCAAAACACCACCCAAACAAACCAACAAATGGCAGCGCAGTTGACGCGAATTGCAGACTTCTTTGAGGTTCCGCAAGCACCTCGACAACTTCGAAGGGAGTTGGTGGTCGAAAACCAATGAGCAGCCTTTAACAACCCTATAACATTATAGCTCAACATAAATGTCAACAAACCATTATTTCCAGTTATCCACAATTAACAACACTGCCAGAGAATTCCAATGCTTCTTAATCAAACTCCTCTTTTAACAAATACGCACATAAGATCATATCATCCAATCCAAATTCAAAGGTCTTATCAATAAAATGCACAAAATATGTCTGATTTGTGTCCATTAATTATCATGATTTGTGTCCATTGCTGTCTAAATTTTTCCGCGTTGACCGAAACAATGAGAATGAGGAAATTGAAAGAGTGAAATGGCGATTAGTTGCCTCTGAGAGAGTTGAGGCGAGAGATTTGATCATGCAGAAAGAGAGAGGGATCAGAAAAGTAATGTTTAAGACAAATAGTTTGATCGTCTTTGCCATCGCCAAGAAGCTTATGAAGAAGTTCAAATGTTGTAAAAACATAGTTCTCTTCTAACAGAAAGTTGACAATGCAATTACAGAGTGATGATCTATCTACGTTCATTATTCTAGTGTGAATCCTCATATCAAAACCCTAGAGTCTCTGATCTGAGGCCATTAAATGGAAGAGGTTTGAGGAAGAGGATGATGGTGAGTGAAATCATTATTTCAATTGTATAACGTTAGCTAGTTAGGTGACATCTCATTTTTTAGTTTAATTTATTTTTCTGGAATTGCGTCAGGACGAAGAATGGAAAAAAACAAATAAGATTGTATTAAAAAATGGGTAGTACTTTAAAGGGAGTGAGTTATTGAGTGGAGACATGTGGATTGGTCTGCTTATACACCGTCAAATTTTACCATTGATTCAGTTTGTATGTTTGGTAATTGCGGTGCAAATATGTGTTAAAGCATGTGAGAATCATGTGGTTGGTTAGTATAAACCACTAAAATAAATCATTACTATAAATCATAGTTTTTTTTTGTTATGAGAAATTATTATTTTGAAATATCTATTTAAAATATCATTTTAAAATAATAATGTGAATTGTCTTTCAAAATGTTAACTTAGAATAATAAAGTTATATTTACGATGTAAATTTAAAATAGTAATGTTAATTATTACTTTCATATAATAATAATAATTCTAGTAGTATAAATATGATTTTTGGATTCATGTAAATATACACATTATTTTTAAATATAAGTGATACATCATTTTTGTCGTATTATATAATTAGAGTGGTAGTTTAAATCATGTCATTGGTTCACAAATATCATTAAAAAGATGTTTAAATATTCAATTTACTCGTTATGTTATCAGCAAGATCGTATATATCAGAAGTGCTTATTTATACTAGATATATTATCCATCGTTATCACTTTACTATTATTACTACAATATTTGTCCCAATTATAGAAAACTAACCATTTAACAAGTAATTGATAACTAAAATGACTATTATCTTTTTTATTATTTTATCTTTGTTATAGAAAATTGAAAACATGTCAAATAATTTATAACTAGAGGTATGTTATCATTATTATTATTATTATTATTTTATCTTTTGTTATAGAAGATTGACAATTTATTCGGTGTTTTGTAATAAGTGTGGTTATTATTATACTCCCCCGTTTTAAAATAAAAGTCTTTTAAAAGTATTGCACATAGATTAAAATAAAAGTAACGAATAAAGAACTAGATGTAACAACTTTATAAAATTATCCTTAGGTGAGACATGATTGTTGAATGCCCACCATAGAATTTATTATTTTTTAAAATTTTAACTATCTGATCTTTTTGACGATTTTTTTAATAGAGATGACAAGCAACCAAAAGAAGAAAGACTAAACACGCATCATTCTAGGTGTAACTACTCCTTTAGAATCATCCTTTAACATGGACCTATGATGATGAGGGGCAACATTATACGAAATGTAAGGAACTTCTAAAAAATTCCCAACACTTACTAATTTATCAACACATCTATTAGATTCTCTATAAACATGAACCACTTTAATTTCACCATGTAGCTCGATGAGTCTTCTAATTTGTTTCATCAGTGCATGTCCAACAAAACATCTCGATCCACCCTTACGAAACACCTTCACAAACACCGTAGAGTTTAAATTAATCTCCACCTTATTCAACCTAAGTCTTTTAGTGTACTTGGGGCCTTCAAAAACTTCCCAAAACTCTGCTACAAAAGTATTACACCATCCAAGAGGTATTACAAAACCACCAACCCAATTACCGGCACTATCTTTGATAATACCCCAACATCTAGCCCTATTATTATCCTTGCAAACGCCATCGGCATTTAATTTAACCATGTTCTCCTGAGGAGGGGTCAAACTTAACTTTGGATATTGTCAATCTATTAATTATAAAAGTACACCATCAACACCTAATATTTTGTTATCGATCTTCATCTTCTTCCCCTTCTTCATTTTCATATTCATCTTCATCTTCATTAATCTTTATCAAATATCTAGAAAATTCACAACAAGATTCATAACAACTGATGAAAACTCGAATGTAGGGAAGAGTACCTAAAATTTTAGTGAAGAGGATGTACGTTTTTGTTATGTTTTCCTGAATCCAGAATGAAGTATTTATGGGTCATGTTAGTGTTGTTTCACAAGGTTACGATCCTTGGTGAAAAAAATTCCTTTTACTAAGAGTTACAAGCTTTTACCAAAAAGTTACGTACATTTTACCAAAAGTTACATATTTTTGTCCAGAACATTCTTCAAATTTTGCATACTTTTATTCGATAACACTTCACGAAGTGTTGACTATTTATGAATTCAAACTTATTGCAACACTTCACAAGTATTGCATATTTCTAAATTAAAACCTACTGCAACACTTCACAAGTGTTGCTTATTTCTAAATTCAAAAATTAATATTCACTTGCATATTTTCTTATTATTTAGAACACTAAAGATTATTAATTGTTAATAATTTTCAACAAACTATACATAGGTCTTATGAGATTATTTACAAAATACATGAGATGACTAAAAACCTTTTTAAATGTCTTCTTTCCCTCTTTCACTCATTCTTATTTTTAATAGAGTAACTACTATATAAAGATCAAAGAATCACCTAAGGAAGTGAGAGAGACACCACATATTCACCTAAAATCTTATGGTGATAGGTCTATGAGTCATCTTACTTATAAAGTATTTAACCTTTATTTTTCTAAGCAATGTGGAACTTAGAACTCACATTTATTTCTCCACACAACTCACATAGACCCAACAAATTATCCCTTCATCCAAAGTCTCACATATCTTTACTTTGTCTTCAACTTCATCTTCAAAGCGATCATTATAATTATAATGATTAGGTATATTTGTAAGATTATTACTCTTCAATCTTTTTGTCTTCTTCCTTTCTTGATCAAAATAATTGTTACTCTTGCTTCCTCCCTTGACCAGAACCTTAACTTAGAGTTTAAAACAGGTAATAATTGTAAGATGCTGCAAACTTAATTTGGTTTAAAAGAGAGCTAATTAAAAATGTTACTATTATTTATTAGCTTAATAGTTTGTTCAGTAGAGGATGTCATAGCATCCGTTATAACATCAACTGTCTATTAGTTTTGTAATTCTATTAGTTAGTTAAGTCAGTTTGTTAGTTAGTTGGATTGTTATAAAAGCCAATGTTATGTGGTGTACAATGTAATGCAATTACGGCAAGTTTCATACAATTCAGTTTTCACCAATATCATCTCATTTCTTGATGCATCATTGCATGATTGTTCTATCAAAATGGTATAACAGAGTCCGGTTCCATAATTGCTGCAAGAAGACACTCGAAGAATGGGAAATCATGGCAAGAACATCTCTACACAGTTACCAGTGTTTGAAGGTAAAACGTTCGATCAATAGGTTGTGAAGATGAAGGTGATTTTCAGGTTTCAAGAGGTTCTTGAAGTGGTGAATGAAGGAGTACCAACCCTCACAGCCAATGCAACAGAAGAACAACAAGTTGCGCACAAAGAACTGAAGAAGAAGGATGGGAAAGTCATATTTTTGATACATCAAAGTGTGAGCAATGAGATCTTTGAGAATATCATGCACTATGAAAATGCAAAAGAAACATGGGATGTGATGGACAAAATGTATGCTGGTGATGGAAAGCTAAAGAAAGTGAGACTTCAAGCATTGAGGAGGCAGTATGAAGTGCTGACAGTGGAAGAAGAAGAAACCATCAGCCAATACCTGGACAAAGTAATCACTCTCACAAACCAGATGACAAGGAATGGTGAAAACTTCACTGATGTGATGAAGGTAGAAAAGATTCTCAGAACTTTAACACCAAGGTTTGATCACATTGTAGTTGCATTGAAGGAGTTAAAGGATCTAGACTCCATGAAGATTGAATAATTGCAGGCAAGACTAGAAGCACATGAACTAAGGTTAACAGATAGGATCAAAGAAAGAGGAAAATGTGCATCTATGGATCAAGCATTGCAGGCTTAGTATGTGAAGAAAGGAAAGTCCAAGAAGGAGATTCAATGTTATAATTTCCAAAAATGGGGACATTATGCATCTGAATATAGATCAAAGAGAGTACCAAGGAACAAAGATGAGGCTCAGTTTGCTCAGAATGAAGGATCAGACTCAGATGAAGTGTTGTTGATGGTAACAGTCAAGGATGAAGAAGAAAGAAGTGATGAATGGTATCTAGATACAGGGTGTTCCAATCACATGACAGGCAAGAAGTCTTGGTTTTCTGAACTAGATGAATTAGTAAACAAAAGTATTAGATTTGCAGACAATAACATAGTATGTGCAGCTGGGATTGGAAAGATCTTGATCAATAGAAAGGATGGCAAAAAGGTCTGTATTACTGATGTGTTATATGTGCCAAACATGAAAAACAATCTAATTAGTATTGGCCAGCTATTATAGAAGGGATATACCATGAGAATGAAGGCAAAAGCTATGAATATCTTTGATCACAAGAACATGCTGATCATTAAAGCCCCATTGTCAAAGCAAAGAACCTTCAGGATTAATATGAATGTGATTGAAGATCATTGCCTGTTGACTGAGACTAAGCATGAGGACTGGTTATGGCATCAAAGATATGGGTACATCAACTTTAGAGATCTGGATATGCTGCATGAAAGGAAGATGGTGCAAGGCCTACCAAAACTAAAAGTTCCAGAAGAAGTATGTGAATTATGTTGTACTGGAAAGCAAGCCAGAAGCTCATACAAAGTAGAGGTACCATTCAAAGCAACCAGGAAACTAGAGGTAATTCACTCAGACGTTTGTGGACCTTTTGAAGTAAGGTCAGTAGGTGGAAACAACTATTTTGAGACATTCATAGATGAATTCACTAGGAAACTGTGGATTTACTTGTTGGTTAAGAAAAGTGAAGTGTTAAATGTGTTTAAGAAGTTCAGATTGCTAGTTCAAAATGAAAGTGGGGAAGTAATTAGTAGGCTAAGAAGTGATGGAGGAGGTGAATTCAACTCTACTGAATTTCATGAGTTTTGCTCATCAAATGGCATTAGTCATGAAATTACTGCACCTTATACACCTCAACACAATGGGATATCAGAAAGGAAAAATAGAACCCTAGTAAATATGATAAGGAGTATGTTTAAGCAAAAGAAAATGCCTCATTTCATGTGGGGTGAAGCAGCTGCTACTACATCATATCTCATAAACAGAAGTCCTACAAAGAAGTTGCAGGATAAGACACTAGAGGAAGCATGGAGTGGATTCAAACCAAATGTTCAACATTTAAGGATCTTTGGTTCATTATGTTTCAGACATGTGCCTGATCAACTAAGAAGGAAGTTAGATGATAAATCCCAAGTAATGATTATGGTTGGCTATCATCAAACTAGTGCATACAAACTATATAATCCAAATAATAAGAAGATAATATTCAACAAAGATGTAAGATTTGATGAATCAAAGGAATGAGATTGGAAAGAAAAGGTCTCACATAAAGGTAACGGTCATTTACCCCTCTCTGACTAAGAGACAGAAGAAGGTGAGATTGAGGAACAAGAAGAAGTTGATGAAGATACAAATGAAGAAGGTGCCGAAGTAATCAATAGATCAACAAGGAATACTCAACCACCAGCCAGGCTGAGGGACTATGAGAGATTCCCTAATCAAGCAGTCACAGATGAGGGTGATATAGTGCAATTAGCAATGATGGCTGAAATTGAACCAGTGTCTTTTAAAGAAGCTTTAAAACAGAAACATTGGAAGATAGCCATGATTGAAGAACTGAGTTCTATAGAAAAGAATGAGACTTTGAAGTTAGTTAAATTACCTGCTAACAAAAGGTGTATTGATGTCAAGTGGGTTTTTAAGACAAAACTAAGGCCAGATGGGCAAGTGGCAAAATACAAGACTAGATTAGTAGCAAGAGGATTCTTACAAAGGCATGGACATGATTACTATGAAGTCTATGCTCTAGTAGCAAGAATGGAAACAATCAGACTGATTGTGGCAATAGCAGTTCAGAATGACTGGTCTATGTATCAGCTAGATGTAAAGTCAACCTTTTTGAATGGTGAGCTAGAAGAAGAAGTATATGTGAATCAACCACCAGGATTTGAGATAGAAGGAAAGTAAGAACATGTTTATAAGTTGAACAAAGTCATGTATGGGCTGAAGCAAGCCCCAAGTGCTTGGAACAAGAGAATAGACAGTTTTCTTGTTCAACAAGGTTTCATAAAGTGTGTAAATGAACATGGAATTTACAGTAGGAATACCACAGATAATCTCATTGTATGTCTATATGTGGATGACATGATAGTGACTGGAAACAATGAAGCTGAAATGAAGGTGTTTAAGGAAAACATGATGAAGGTATTTGAGATGTCTGACTTAGGCAGACTCACATACTTTCTAGGAATTGAGTTTGACAGAAATGATCAAGGAATGATTATTCATCAAAGGAAATATGCTCAAGTGTGCTAAAAAGGTTTACCATGGTAAACCGCAAGCCAGCTGCAACTCCTGTTGATATAGGGACAAAGTTATCCTTGGAGAATGATGAAGAGGAAGTAAATCCTACTCTGTTCAAACGGCTTGTTAGTTCCCTAAGATACTTGTGTCACACAAGACCTGATATTACATATGGTGTAGGGTTGATCAGCAGGTACATGGTGAAGCCAACCACCTCTCATTTAATCGCAGCCAAGAGGATATTGAGGTATGTGAAGGGTACATACAGGTATGGAATTCAATATTGTAAAGATCAAGGAGGTGAGTTAATAGGCTATTCAGATTCAGATTGGAGTGGTGATAAAGATGACAGGAAGAGTACAACAACATACATGTTTATGATTGGAAATGCAGTCTTTGCATGGAGCTCAAAGAAGGAACCAGTGGTGGCTTTATCCTCATGTGAACCTGAGTATATAGCAGCTTCCATGGCAGCCTGTCAAGCTCAATGGACAAACATGTTATTGACTGAATTAAAGCTGATAAGGAATGGAAGAGTATAACTCATAGTTGATAGTAAATTAGCCATAGACTTGGCAAAACACCTTGTAGCACATGGTAGAAGCAAGCATATTGAAATCAAATTTCACTTTTTAAGAGAACAAGTGAATAATAGAAAGTTAGAGATGAGCTACTGCAAAACAGATGAGCAATTGGCTGACCTGCTCACAAAACCACTAAAAACAAGCAGATTTGATGATCTAAGGATGAAGTTAGGCATGGTGGAAGCATCTAACTAATCAAATTAAGGAGGCGTATTAGTTTAATAGTATGTTCAGTAGCGGATGTCATAGCATCTGTTATAAATCAACTGTCTATTAATTTTGTAATTTTGTTAGTTAGTTAAGCTAGTTTGTTAGTTAGTTGGATTGTTATAAAAGTCAATGTTATGTGGTGTACAATGTAATGCAATTACAACAAATTTCATACAATTCAGTTTTCACCAATCTCATCTCATTTCTTGATGCATCATTGCATGATTATTCTATCATAATTGATTACTATAGTAAGTGATTGTAAAAGTCGTTCCTTGAAAAGCATATATTTGGCCACGTAACACATTGGCTGTTTGTTAATTGTTTTATCACACATAGAACAAGACAATGGTTTAACATTTGGTGATGTGTTCGATACTTGAACCAAACATTTCTTGTGGCAAACCAATGGCTTTATACCAACGACAACTTATGAAATGTCATTGATATATTGAAACCATATCTTAAACTACGTAATGTTGTCGCCTTCTTCAACTTCAATACCATACCATCATTATCATAACCATGTTACCATCGCAAGCATAGTTAAATTCCCTTTTTATTTCCTAAATATTGTGATTTTCTGATTTTAGTAACATTTATGAATTTTGTTTTATAAAGAAACACTAGTTGGCACAAGTTTCACAATTATCATGAAACAACAAACTATTCAAAAATGAAAACAAAGTGGTCCATACAAAAAATTGAAAGATCAAAAATTTGGGACCTGAAATATATATAATGATAAAATCTTTACAGAAAATAAGATAGGGACATGTAGCAGCGATGTGACCAATACCAGCCAGTCATTGATATTCCCTCCCTCTTCTTGTTACAACCCTTCTTGTTAAGCCATTTCAACTTTGAATTCTCAACCACAATTTCCACCTCAAAAATCTTTATCTTTCATGTAATTATTCTTCATAGTTTCAGCCTCTCAGTTTTGGTAAAAGATGAATGATGATGCTAAAGTTGGTATTAGAAGAGTTAGATCAGTTAAAGATGTTATTAATCTATATGATGATAGGAATCATAGGAATGCGGATACCGATAGTTCTTCGTTGAAGAAAAATCAGATGGATTCCTCACCGGTAAGTATTCGTAGTCTAGTTGAATTTTGGATTAACATATTTGAGCTTATTATTCGCATAGACACTTGCGAGGTTGATTCAGAGAACTGATGAAAACAAGCTATAACACATATATAAGTTATTTTCAGCTTATTTTTCCATAAACTTTGTATTCTTTTGTTAATTTGTTGTCTTTTTTTGATATTCTAGAACCCTACTTCAAGAACAAGAGAGCTTCATAAAGCTAAAAGGGATATTGGAAAGTATAAAGAAAGTAGATGGACAGCAGAATCTACGAAATCTCATGCAGAATCCGAGCTTTCAAATGCGAAAAAGACGATGAAAAATCTTTCTTCGATGATCGAGGAATCGAGTAACAAGGCTAAGGCGAGAATGAGGGATATAGAAACATTAGAGAAGAAGGGAAAGAGTCCACAACATGGTGATATGGTTGTGAGCAGGAATGAGAGTTATGAATATGCAAAAGTGATGAGAGAATTGGAATATATCAAGAAGGAATTGTTCAAGCTAAAGCTTGATGTAGCTTCTGTCATGGAAGAGAAATCGCGAGCCGAGCAAGAAATCGAAGTGTCAAGCTCGAAGATGATTGCTTGTTCGAGTAAAGCAGAAGAACTTAGAAAGGAGATTGAGGAAGCCAATGAAGAACAAGTACTTGCTGAATTGGCTAGGATTGAGGCTTTGAAAGAGTTCGAAGATATTAGAGCTCAGAGAGAAAGCGAACAAAAAGAGTTTTTATGCAAATTGGAAACGACAAGAATGAAGATAAAGGAGGCCGAGGAAGAAAGAGAAGAATCAAAGGAACTCGAAATGAAATTAGCTATGACAGTTTCAGATGTTGAGCTCTTGCAGAATCAGTTGGTTTTGGTAACAGAAATGGAGAAAAGAGTTCAAGGAGATGAAAGTATGAAACTATTGGAAGGAGGTTTAAGAAAAAGCGGCGAATCAGAAGAAGACTCGACCGAGTTGCAAGCCGTGAAAGAAGAACTCGAGGCGTCAATGAAAGAGTTAGCTGTGATTAGAGCGGAAGGTTTTCAGTTTATGGCTTCTATGGATGTTATAAGAAATGAACTGAAGCATATAACTAAGGAAACGGCTCGCTTGAAGAGGAACGATTCGTCGGTTCAAAATCTTACTTCGAAGCTTCTAAGAATGAAATCTAAGCTAGAAGCTGCATCTGCTGCTGAAGAAAAGGCAAAATCGTTAGTAGTAAGCCTATCTCATTCTCTTGAGAATCTGAAGACAGAAACAGATGATGCTAAAAAGGAAAAAGCGCTTATAAGTCAAGAGATTATAACCACTAAAGAAGAGATTCAAAAAACCGATTATGAGATCGATACGAGTGAGGAAAAACTGCAAGGCGTAATGAAGGAGCTAGAAGAAGCAAAAGCGACCGAGGCTTTGGCGTTGGAGAAGCTTAAAACAATTTCCGAGACTGCAATGAGACAAAGAGCTATAACAGCGAAACATAGTTCATTGATCACTATCTCGAAATTCGAATACGAGTATCTAACTAATCATGCAGCTGCAGCAGAAGAAATTGCTGATAGAAAAGTTGCTGCAGCCGAGGCATGGATCGAAGCGCTCAAGGCGAGCGAGAAGGAAATAGTAATGGAAACGAAAATAGCTCAAAGAGAGTTCAAAGAGACAATGTTGAAGGAAGAGAGGGAGTTTTACATCAAAGAGAAAATGGTTGTTGCAAGAAGAGTTGGTGGTGAGGAGTTTGATAGTCCGAGAAAACGCGATAAGAATTCGTCAAAGAACTTGCAGAGAGCTATTTCAAGAAAGAGTTTTAAATCAAATGGAAGTTTAACTCCGGCTAAGAGAGCGAAGTTTCAGATGTCGTCGATTTCGCCCGCGCCTCGGCATTTAAGTCCTTTTGCACTCAAGAAGAGAAAGAAAGTTATTCCAAATTTGACAAAGTTATTCAGTGGCAAGAAGAGCAATAGGACTATAGAGTAAAATTCAACATTATAAGAGTTTCATGTCTTGTTTTAACATAAATATTAGGTTACTGCACTTGAATACTTGCTGAATTTATAAAAAATTTGATGTAAGACAAGGCTAAAGGATTTTACATTTTTACTAGAAATACACCTTGTTTTGTTTTGATGCATGTGTGGTGCAAAGGCTTTGTTACATGTTTCAAAACAAAAAGACTTTGTTTGATTTGTTTTTTTACTTTAGCACTCAAATTTTCAGGGGAAAGAGTCCTAGTAATTTAAAATTCGTGTCGAGAGGTCATGATACTGATCAAACATTGTTTCTATTAGGAATTAAATTCGGTATTTTTCGAACCTTCGTTTTTTAATCGGAGCTCGTTTATCACTCGAGTCGAATTGCTTGGTTTGTTTGATTTGTTTTATAGTTGGGAAATTTCTTGGAAATGGAGATAATGAGCCTCATCAATGCAATGACAAATAAACATATATCCTTTCAATTTACAAGCATAAAGTAATGAAAATAAAAATTTTAAAGTAGAGATTAATGGTAACTGGTAAGTATGGATGACATAATGGATCTTCACAACCTAAGGTAGTTCTAAACGATATGCAACATAACCAATCTTGGCAATGACTGGAAACATGCCAAAATATCGCAAGCCTAGTTTATGGTGCTTACGCAAGGCCATAGAGATATGAGCTTCTTAACAGCTTGAAACTTCATGGCCTATTTTGCTTTATGGAGATTGGCTTGCAGTTGTGTCAATAACTTTTCGTCACAAATTCTGATTTGATGCATTTCCTTGTTATATTGCTTCTATTTATAACATCATGAGCATTAACACAATTGATTATAAAATATTCTAAATTTGATTTTTTAATAATCTGTACTTGATTAAAAAGTGCAGGCTATGTGTTTTTCTTTTAAGAACAAAGAAATTCAGAGATCTTAGTAGATATGTTGCAATATGGGTAGTGAGGGTTTGATTACGGCGGCAAGAAATTATGTGCAACAGTTTTTAAAGTTGTTTAAGAGATTAAATCATGTGAGATGAGAGACATTGTCGGGGCTGCTGAGTTGCAGACCCACAGTTAGATTAATTGTGTGTTATAGTTGTTGGAAACGTAGTGTTTTTTGGTAGTGGAGATTGTATACGACTTGAAGTCCGTTTTTTTTTCTTGAAGAATAAAATATTTATAAGACTTTCTAACACTTAGAGTTTTTTTGGAAAATGCTCTAAATCCTGATTTTTATTTTGCCTGAATTAATTAAATTTTTTAATAATTTTCTATCTGTTTGTGTAATTATTGAATATTTTATTTAATTAAAAGAAATTGAATTATAAGGTATGTGTCCTCGGATGGAAGGATAATTAAAAGGGTGGTGGATATAGAATTAACTTAGAGTAACTTAAATTTATCTATGTTGTGAATCGGATACCTTTAAACAAAATATAAACGGTTTCTTAATGATCAAGAAACTCATAAGGGTTAGGGTTAACAAAGAAAACAAGGTAAAACAACAAGGAACAACAAGGATTGGTTGTTAAAATGCTATTCTTTCCTTTCTCTTAGAATAAGATTACAAGTATACAAGAATAACAAAATAACCTCTCTCCCTTGAAATTAGGATTTTATCTTCCTATTTTTCCTTATGCCAAGATTGAGAAACTAACATCCTATTTATAATAAAATAGCACACTAACCTAATGGACTTTTTAACAATTACCCATTACAAGCCAACTTAAGGTACAAGTTAACTTAAACAATTGGGCTTACAAGCAAGGCCCAATTCAACATGCTAACTGTTGCACCCCAAAATTTGACCAACAATTATTTATTCATTGAGTGTTTGAAAGTGGATACCTTCATCAGAAAGTTCAAGAGATCCTCAGAGGAGTGGTTTGAAACCAGGGTTGTGTGCTTCACAGTTTGAAAGTTGTGGGTGCCCCTCAGATGATTCTGAGACTTTGAGAATGGACTAGATGTTTTGAGAAAGCTTATGAGATGTCTTGATAGCCATCATGAAGCCCAGAGAGGTCATTATGCAAGAATTCAGAAGATTCAACCATGAATGGTAGAATTAGGGTTTTGACTGGGTCAACCCTAAGTCAACTGAAAATTTGGAGAAGGTTGAGACCTAATCCAAGGGCCATGAGATCATGTAATGATGCATAGAGATGTTATAAAGGTTATTCCTAGACCAACTCATCATGATTGAGGAGTTTGAGAAGTTTCAAGTTAGGGTTTCCAAGGATTGTCAGTGAGAAAACCCTAGTTTGATCCCTATCTTCCAGGCAGTTTTAGCTCTAGATGTGATTGATATCTCATCTTCCCCACAACATGAATGTTGTAGAGCTTGTTCTAAGCTTTAATTTGAGTGGTGGAAGTCCTTGATAGGAGTTACAGAGCTCAAGTTATGGTTTTGACAAATTACAGGTCAGCAGAGGTATGTGAATCTGGGTCCTTGAAAGTCACCCAACTTGCAGACAACTTTTGCCCTAGTAGGATGATTCCTATGATTTCTTGGTCAACATGAATGTTGAAGAGGATCTTCTTAGCTTTAATTTGAGTGGTAGAAGTCCTTGATTGGATTTGTGGAACTCAACTTATGGTTTGAACAAGACAGGGGTATTTTGGTCATTTGTCAGTTATAGGTCATTTTAGCCAATGCCTAAAACTCCTATTTCCAAGCCTCAAATGGAAAAACTCAAAACATGAAAGTTGCTCAAAATGTGATTTTAAGTCTAGAAAGAAGGTCACAAATTGTTGGAAAAGCTCATGGCACAAGATTACATGATTGGTCAAAAATGAACTAAAAAAGGCTTATAACTTTGAAAAGTTGAAATTGAAAAGTGATTTGGGAGATCCACAAATCCAAAATAGGTCATCCAATATATCATTTTGATTGGAAAAACCATTTTGAGAACTTTGGTTTAAATAGATTTTTCATTTGAGGCTCCAAAAATGGACTTCCTTTGGAAATTTATTACTTGCATAAGAAGGCAACTTTGCAAAACCCTACATAAGTGAAATGTAAGGGCTGCTTTCATTCATTAACATTCAATATCTCATATTAAGACAATTTGGCATGAGATTACAAGGGATAAGGCAAGGGAAATGACATTTTCAACTTCTCATTTAAGGAGAAGTTCATGACTTTTCTAGATCCTTCTAGATGATTCCACAAGCTTCCATCAATTGCTATTTAAAGAATGCCATGCAGAGAGATTGAAGGTTGGTGAAACTTGGTGAATTGAGTAGAGAAGAGAGAGATTCGAGCTAGGGTTTCAAGGTGCTCCATCATTGCATTTCAGTTTCAAAGTCATTGTTACAAGCTTTCTTCTTCAAGATCCTTGCAAACAGAAAGCATATCTCCATTGGAGGATCATTGTGAGTGAATTGCAAGCTTGGAATCGTGCCCTAGCATCACATACCATCATCACTTGACAGGTTCCTCTTCTTCTCTCTTCCACCTTAATTATGCATAGATGTATCATGTTTTAGGTTTAGAATGAATGTATTAGGGTAGATGACTAAATACTGAGAGTTACAGCCTGTTCCATGAGGTTCCATAGCAGGACCAAGAATCTTTGATTCTCAAGAAGTGTTTGAATTTGGAGTTTAAATCATCAAGAATTGGTTTAGCACGTTTAGGTTCACTTGTAGAAGCTCTGTAAATCATTAGACTGAGGTTTGGTGAAGGTCGATACCAGTTGATATCAGATGAACATGGTTGTACCAAGATGTTTAAGTCTTATGTTTGGATTATTCAGGAGGAATTAAGAAAATCTACTCGTACCATTTTATTCCTCTCATTGAGTAGAGCATCTTTCGTTTTTGAATCGTGTCGAACCATGGCCTGAGCAGAGAGATAGAGGAGCTCGAATCTTGGTGCATGGAGGTGGGGGTTCTGAAAACCCTAAGTTTTGGTGGGGACGATGAAGGAGAGCCACTAGATTGGTTCCAGATTTTGACCAATTCATCAGATCCAGCGGCTGTGGTTTAACCTGAGAAAGAGAGGGAAGGTTCAAATTAAATGAAACGCAGCCGTTTCATTAAACCGGTTCTGGGCCTGTAGCGCTATTCGCACCCCCCTTCTTATCTGGCCCAATTATTTTTAACTAGCGTGTGGTGCTATTCATACCCCCCTCCCTTTAATTAATTTAATTTCTTTTATTTTCTTCTTTTATTTTTTCTGTTTTGTTTAATTCATTAAAAATTGATAAAAAATGATTTTTGAATTCTTCTTTTTTCTATGAATAGATGAAAATGTGTAGAAAATTATAAAAATAAAAATGGGATTTTATTTTTTAGTTTGGTATTTTTAATAGATTTTCCTTTTAAATAGCTTTTATATTGTTTAATTTTGTACCATGATTTTGTAGGAATTATTTTAGAACCTTCCCTTAGGGTTTTTAATCCATTCTTTTTTGTGCAATTAGATGATGAATCATAGTTCCCCATAGGATTTTTTCTAGAATTTTAGAATTGAATTTTGATTAGTTTAATTAGGGTAGATTTAGGGTATCCTAATTAGGGTTTAGATTGTGTTTAGGTGAAGAATCCCTTTCTTTGATTGAGTTTTGTCTGGATTTTTAGGTAGAGGCCTATGTAGATGTTATGAGTAGGTGTTGTAGACCCTTGTGAATAATTGTTAGATTTTTCCCCATTAGTTTAGCATTTTTAGGTATTTTCTGAAGTTGCCTTTTGATTTTGTCTCCCCTGTGGGTATCTGTTCATCTTTGGGGTTCTTTGTGGGGAATTTGTTGAGGGGCTTGTGTTGCCTTGAAGACCTTGTTGGGGAGCATCATGAAGAGAAGATTGTAGATCAAGATTCAGAGACCCAGGGCTTGGCTTGTTCCCTGTCTGTGAGGTTTGAGATCCTGAAGTTTGAAGGAAGTTCATGGTACTTTCCTGAGGAAGGCACTATGAATGACTTTCATTCTTTCTTCTCACCTCTTTCTTAAGTATCCAATGATGTTGGAGCCAACTTGTGAGTTTAATTTCTCCTGAGGA